TCCGGCAAGTTTCCGATGGTCAGATAGGTTTGCAACTCCCCAACGTTATGGTGATGATAATGTGATTTTTTTCGACCTAGAATAGAATATGGACGGGGCTACCGTCAAAGGGAGGAGCAGAGAAGCTGCTACTATTTTTTTTTTTTTTTTTTACTTCTCTGAAAGTAGTCAATTACACACTTTAGAGGGGCCTTTTATGGAACAAAGTAAATCATAAGGTACAAAAGATAGAATGAAAATTTGGACATAATCATTTGTTTACAACCTCCACAGGTCCACTATTGTTAATCCTACATTTTGAATGATTATAAGTGGGTTAGGAAAAAATAAATACATGCATTCTAACTAAAAGTAAACACACACAAAAACAAAAAAAACAAATCTTCACATTACATGTATTGACTAAATACATCACTTGAAATTCCGCATATATTAACATTCTCTACACAGCAACAATGCAATCATCAAACATAAACCATGTGAAAAGCCATATTAAAAGTACCGAAGCCAAATAACAGGTAGTTAGGAACTTAGGATAGCATCGAAACACTCACATCACACACCATGCAAAATTGTCATTATTTGCACTATCCTCCATTCCATCGCCTCCTCTTCCCCAGCAACGACAGATACAGCTTCCCCTGATACAATTACTTTAGTTGAATTAGGAAATCATTTGGTTAATTATCTGTAACGTACAACTATCAGAAAATCATTTAATCATGAACCATTTGGTAATCAATGAACACAGACTGAGAGGAACAAAAGTCCATGGAGATTGATCCTAATGATGCCTCTTGAAAATGAAAAAAGGAAGTCAGTTAAGAGTTTTACCGAGAGTTCGTGTGGGCTGGGAGTAACTTGGACAGTTGGACTACGTAGCAGAATTTAGGGCGTGCAAATATTCATTCCTAAGATACAAAACCAAGCAAGCTCTTCAACATAAATCCAAACTTGAAACGCCATTGTAAGTGAAAGAAAATAGAACAAACCAACACAGCTCATCATTCGATTGAACATAGAATTCAAGAAAGAGGAAGACAATAAATCATGGTGTAGTTATTTACACTTCATTACCAATCAGCACATGAAGAAATTAAACTTGACACGAAAGCATCACAGGGCATGTATTTTCGGCCACCAACCATCCATTCGGCATCCAAAAAACAGGTCATATTATGATTGTTCTTTTATAATGGAGGTCATATTATGATTGTTAAATCTGTATATTCAACACACAATTTGAAAACCATGTCCTGGGGATCACTATTAATTATTCAGAGGAAAAATTCGAATGAAAGGAAAAACATCAAAGTTAACCTTTATAGTTATCTCCTTCACATCAAAGGATCATATTTAACTTTCAGAACGCAGCAATTACACGCGAAACCAATCATGAACCATGCACATCAATCTTACATCCCAGCAAAAAACTTGTTTTTTTTTCTTCTTATGCAAAACGGACACTGCACACCTAACATGCAAAAGATGACCGGAAAATAAAAAAACATCCAAAAATATACACCAAACAGTAAAGAAAAAGCTTCAACCAAGAGAGACAACTCAATCGGCTCACCTTAAGAGCCTGGCCAACTAAGATGATATAACCAGTTCTGATCATGAAAAGATTCACATACTGCAAACCCCATGCTAAAGAATAAGCTCTCTTGCCTGCGGTAGACATGGAGGAAAAAAGCAAACATTTGAATCAATTGAACTAATCAAGGAAAATATCCTGCACTTGCGCATCTGGCTACAAACATATAACAGTTAAGGGCTTACTTTAGATAAGCACACTAACTCCGCTTCGCGTCAAGTTGAAGTTGACAATATACATAATTTCTATTATGATATGAAAAATTCTAGAGAAGTCTACAAAGTTATACTGGTTATAAACTTTGGGTACAGAAGGTAAGCCACTCCGTCACATTTAAGTTACTTGTGCGCTCTCCCAACTCAAGAATTAGGACCCAAAGGAAATAGAGGGTATTCCTTTTGGTGGCTACCATAATGCTTCCGTATATGGTTGAGTATGGGGAAAGAAGGCATACTTCTGCATTTTGCAGTAAAGAGCTTTCTTTCTACTTGTTAAGGATCTCCTATTGTCAAGATAGAATAATGGCAGAGACATTTTTAGGGTGGTATTTGGATCAAGTCGTGGTTAGTGTATGCTGAAATCTGCCTACAAATGTCTTTTTTTTATCGAATATGGCAATGGTGTTTTCCTGGGTAGGATGTAGCCTGTTGAAGTAAGCAATTCTCAGAAAGAACGATAAGGAATAAAGAATATATAATCGTGAAGCAATCAAATCACTGACAACCCACTCAATAAAAGATAGGAACAATGTTATCCTTTTTACCATGAACAGTGGAAAGATGCAGATAAATGGCAAGAGAAGCACTGGCAGCTAAGAGAACTAACTTAAAATCACCATAGTCAATTTCTCCTTCCGCGGCTTCGGCATAAGTTCTTGTTCAGGAATCCCACACCCTGAAAAGTCCTGCCATTGATGTCCATTGGGTCGCCTACCAATCAGCTACGAACACTGTTTGAGTTCTTAGGAACCATTTAACACATCGATCATTTCACTCTAACTGTGTTTTCACTACTGCCTCAGTTTACTGTTGGAGTTCTGCCATCTGTTGGAGCTAAACTGATTTGTATGAAAGGACAAATACACGTCAGTTTACTACCACTAACCAGAAGGATATACAGATGAAAAAAGGCTAAATAATAGCAGTACCAGAGGTCGATTGACTTGAAACATATAAACATAAGTATCAGAACTATGAAATCCACAAAGAACAACCCCGAATCTAGATCTCATGCAGCAAGCCTTTTTCCTCTCTACTCTAACATTCAGGCTCGCTCCTACCCACCTCTCCTCGGGCGTCCATCTATGTTAAAGGGCTAAATCTCACGCAAGAAATGCATATTTGAAAATTTAGCATTCCAAATAGGTCATAAACTATGGAACTTACACTGAACTCGTTAGACTAATAATGAACACATGACTTAAAGAGCAAAGAGAGGGCATGTAAAACAGAGCTTTAAAAAGAACAAAAAGGAAGTTGCAGAGGGAACTTTTAAGTGAAGAACAGACCGTGAAGTAACTGTTCAGCCTAAGTTTCCATCAATTCACAGCAAAAAAGAGCAGAACATCACTCAATCGTGAGTTTGTGACGAAGGCATAAATCCAACTTGCCAAACGAATGGCAAATACATATAAATACCATGATGAAATTTGAAAGGTAGAGAGGAGCTAGTGACCTGTCATCATTGGGGAGGTTCCTTCCATTGCCTTCATGGACTGACCACCAGAAAAGAGATCGGATTTGTCGGGAAAAAATATAGAAAGATGGGAGCTTTGTGCCAAGCGAATCTGAAAAACGAAAGAGATAACCTGGGAAAGAAGAATAAAAGGTTAGATTCAAGAGAAGAAGGGAGAGGAACTGAAGCCGGCAGGAGCGAGTTGGAGATCATTCCTGAAGCTGGTTCTTCTTCTTCATGAGATGGAGAGAGAAATGGCGATGGCGACTTCTTCTCACTTTTCCCTTGGCGGAAAACAAATAGGAACCAGATCAAAGAAAGGCAGAGACCCAGAATATAAACAGAACAAAAATCCAAAAAGAAGAGGCTTACCTAGAGAGCAGTGGGTCGCCTCTGCTACCTTCGAAAAAACACAACAGCGACAATTCCTCTTCTCTTGACTCTTGTCAATCACGAAAAGTAAATAAGAAAACGTAGGATAGGATTAGCAGAGGACAATAAGTTAAAGATCCAAACTCACGGAAACTGGAAAGTAAACTAAATCCACAAAAGAACTCATCTTCTTCGGAGCTATATTCAAAGTCACGAATCTGAAGCACATGATCAGAACAGCCACATCAGAAAATTCCCAACTAAATCCTTCGTTCAACACATGAAAACACATCTCAAGCCACATGATGACTACAAGTAGGATTTTAAAAATTGTTACATGCATGAAAGGACACTATATCAAATGCACGGGAACATATTACTCACTTGGAACCCCTTCTCCCGAGAAGTTGTTCTGAAATTGTCTGCCACACGACGGAATAGTGTTACAGTGTAGAGAGCATATTCGTTATCTTCACACAGCTTCTTGGACGACCTTGGAACCTGGAAGAGCCGAACAGGATAAGATGCCAAAGCACAAATACAAGAAAAGAAGTAACAGTGACTCAAGTACTGGAACGATAAGCCTAAACCTAGAGTTGTCAGTCCTAGAGATCTCAAGTGATATAGAAAAAGCAACTCAACTACTATTCAAGCCGAGAGACATGGATTTTACCACATAATTAGTCAGAGTTTCATAGCTAGCCAACCAGTCCTTCTGTGAATACTTGGGGACAACTGGCAGAAGGGTTATGAGATGTTCAGAGGAAATTATATCTTCAGGTTTCACCAAACTGGACAGATCGCGAACAGCCAAGCTGAACAGACAAATGAAAAGTAATGCCTCCCTTGGTTAAGAAAATGAAAGTTATACTTCTTGACTTCTTGTACACACAGCAATCAAATGGAAAAGATTGTACCTGCCACTTTGCTTGCGATTAATAGCATTGAGCTGCCTGCGAACATTATTATACTCAGCTAGACGAACCTAAAACAGGAAGCGGGAGATCTCCTTCAGTCTCACAAAGTTCAAATCCAATTACACAAAAAGTTTCAGCAAACCAGCAGGCAGTCACCTTGAGATCATCTTCAATCTGCACTACTGAACTATGAATTCCATCAACGATATCCTTCAGAGGAGACATCGTAGGATACTTCGCTTCATCCCAAACAAACCTATCATCGCAACACAGATAATTGGATGGTCGACAGCGACATGGAGCCGTCTGCAAGCAACTTATTGAGTCATTACATTGATATATCCTACTCAATAATTTGATGGAGGAAATTCAAGTAATCCAGTTCATCCTTGATTTCACATATCTAAGCAAACAACCTGTAACATCAAATTATTGAGTAGTTATATCCACTCCATCAAGTTACAGAAAATTGATGTACTGTCGATCATGAACTGGAACTCCTCGTTCCAACGTGGATCGCGGGTTTTCCTGATCATCTGCAACAGAACCAACAACAATAATGTCACACAAACAGCATCAGGATGTAATTGCTTTAGTGTTCTTAAGTGGTGGGATGTGCTTAAAAAACGTTGCATAACCTTGGTTCTTTTTCTTTCTCCCCTGAAGAGCAGGGTAGCATAAGGGTTGTTATGGCTCTCTCCATCTACATCCTCTGCTGATTGTACTGTCACTGAAAGCAAACCTGATCCATTGAATGGATCGTCATCGTTGTCCACAAGCTCGCTTCCTTTCCCACTTCCTTTCCTGCTGCCATTTATTTGATCCAAGCGGCCTGAGATGGAACTGTCTTCCTTGAAAGGCACGAGGGTCAGCTCCACCATGATTCTGCCTCGTTGCTTCTTGTCGCGAGGATCAGATGCGTCGGTGCTCTTGAGCAAGTCCAGAGTTAGTTGCTTTGTCTCTTGTGGAGTGAGTGTTTTCAAGGGTACAACTTGCATCCCCAATGTGTCATGGCCACCAACCTAGTTAGAAGTTAGAACCATAAACAGGAAACCTATATCATGTTGCAGCAGTACAAAGACTGAATGAGATGGTTAGTTGAATTACAGTGGATGTTATAAATTGTAAAATTGTCACCACGTTAATCCAACAGCTAAGATTTACATCTACCAGAAGCTGTCAGGCATGATAGCATTTTAGCAAAATTCTTTTTAGTTACCTTATCCCAACCATACACGTGAAGTTGAAGAAGTTGAGAACCGGGGTCCTTAACAATAAGCCTGAAGTTCTCATTCCATACTCGATTCAGATTGTGCTTCTTGATTGAGGTCTTTTTAACTGTAGGTAGATCCTCTCCGCTCAAACTGAGCTTCACATAGGGATCGGAGGTTCCTATGATATCAGCCTTCATCAGTTTCATCGCCCGCACGACCTTCACATGCAGCAGCCCTACTGGCTTCTTCACAACCACTCTGAGAATGCCAAGACGAAAAAGGGTTTGTATTTGGATCAGGGTTTTCCACATAGTATGAACAAAATGGACAAACTACTTCAAAATGTAATGTTTCCACTCACGTTGAAGGATCAAGGACGGGTATTTCAAGCGTCTGGGGCCAAAGGTACATGCTTGCCACCTGCTTTTTTATGGTTTCCTGAAGGACAATCCAACAGTCAGGTGATCCAAGGTTCATGCCTTGTCTAACAAGTAACATCAACTAACGACCAGCTTCTTACAAAGCTACCCATTAAAGCATTACCAGCATAGCACCTGAACAAATCTATAAAGACCGGGTATGGACATGACATCCCCTCCAAGAATCCTCAGCCCAAAGTCTACATGAGGCTGCAAATAAGAGGTCAGCGGTCAGAAATCATCAAATGGTTAAACCAAAACCGGTTTATGTTAAAGAAAACCTCATTCAAGTTTGGAAAACCTACTCTTTCCATCAAGGAAACCACAATGTTTGCAAAACATGGGAATGTAGGTACCAGAGGCTTCAATGATATCCTTGGTGCTGCAAACACTTGCAGATCAAGCAACTACAATAGAAGCAGCATTGTCGATTTTGATGAGCAAATTTAAGTTATGTTTTGCTTTAAAGAACTTCCAAAAAAAGGATTCATATTCAGTCACTCTTGTAGGCCAGGATAGGCTTTCTTGCTGACCTGAACAGTAACGGCTAATGACTTCAATTTCAACACCAAAGTTATGTTGGGATTGCCAGGCCACCTAACTGCTGGTTCCAGGACTAAATCATTTTGATTTGTGTCGAACACTTTGAGACCTGAAACGAAGTTTCCCAAGCAAAGCTATGTCAGTTCAGTACATGGAAAATGAACTCAACTTCGATCAACAGCCACCAACATTTTGGAATTACAGGTAGTAGTCAAATTAATAATCTCACCATGAAGTGTGGGAGGAAGAGTTCCAAGTGTCAGATGCTCAAACTCAATGGCTTCAATGCCATACTTCCCAATATACTCCTTGAAGATAGGTTGTGCAGTGGTTCTAATTATAGAACAAATGGCCTGCCCATGATCATACCAAACTCAGAAGGTTAAAACTTAATTAGCGGCAGAAATGCATCAGTAAATTGATCATCAAGTTACAATGTGTAACCTTATCAAGGTAAGGCCACATGTCCAAGAGAAACTTGTTCAACCAGTCCACCTGCAAAACCCCCATCATTAAAGCAGCAAAAGACTGACCTAATCTCACTGACCTAAATAGCTAAGAGAAATGAGCTGATCAGAAAGTGCTAGCCATTACTTACTCGTTCATAGTCCGGGCATTTCACCCATAAAGGAAGCTCGGGTAGAATGTTCTGCAAGGCCTCAAAATCCAACTCTGCAAGTGGCCTAACCACCGCATCCTGTAACACGAAGTCATTGTGCATACAACTTCGGTAAGGGTTGGCCTAATGGTAATGGAGAAAGATAACATCTGCAGGACTTTGAACTCGAACCATGGCCATCAACTACAGGAAAAGAAGAGGATAGTTTTTTCCCCCTTCTCCTTCCAAATCAGCAGACAATGTGGTAAAGGTCCCACATTTCAGGGACTATTCGTTGCTCAATTTCGACAGATGGATTAAGCAAAATGGGAAACCCAAATTCTTACGCGGATCATCGTGACCCATAATTAGGAAAACCGGATGATCCAAACCCCAATCAATCTAGAAACTAATACGGTGGTAAGTTGACGTGAATAGACCCGCCAGAGAAACAGAGAAAATTGATGGTTTCAGGTTGAAAGTCAGTCTCAGTCACCTTCATCCATCTTTAAATGCCCTGAGATATCGTATCAAGCCATGGCAGGCCAGCTAACCGACGACCTCTAATCGTATGGTTAAAGCAAGCAAGCTGTTTACCCATAAAAAAATATAGCTCACAAGCAAAAAAGGAAAACGCCTCTTACCTTAGTCGTCGTCGTCGAAACCATCGTCGGCGTCCATGGCAGACCTTCCGTCGACGCCATCGCCGGCCTTCCCGTTGCTGCCATCGCTGGGCTTGATCAGATCCTTCCTTCCTCCTCCTTCTGGCTTGACAGGGGAGTCTTCTATCTCTCTCTCTCTCCATTTTCTTCTTCTTCAAGAGAGAGAGAGGAGAGAGCTCATAAGCAAAAAAGGAAAACGCCTCTTACCTTAGTCGTCGTCGTCGAAACCATCGTCGGCGTCCATGGCAGACCTTCCGTCGACGCCATCGCCGGCCTTCCCGTTGCTGCCATCGCTGGGCTTGATCAGATCCTTCCTTCCTCCTCCTTCTGGCTTGACAGGGGAGTCTTCTATCTCTCTCTCTCTCCATTTTCTTCTTCTTCAAGAGAGAGAGAGGAGAGAGCTCATAAGCAAAAAAGGAAAACGCCTCTTACCTTAGTCGTCGTCGTCGAAACCATCGTCGGCGTCCATGGCAGACCTTCCGTCGACGCCATCGCCGGCCTTCCCGTTGCTGCCATCGCTGGGCTTGATCAGATCCTTCCTTCCTCCTCCTTCTGGCTTGACAGGGGAGTCTTCTATCTCTCTCTCTCTCCATTTTCTTCTTCTTCAAGAGAGAGAGAGGAGAGTGGGTGGCTGGGATTCTGGAAAGAGGTATGTGAGAGGGAGGGGAAGGATAGAAAAGCTACGAAGAGAGAGAGGCAATGGAAAAAGTCTTTATTGACAGGCCAAAGATCTCGGAGAGAACACCTATGACATGACTGGTGGAAACCCTTAATTACGAGAGTGCCACTCCTCCGATTTGACGCTTGTCCGTGTCAGAAGAAGGACCAATCAGAGATCGAGAACCGAAAAGGCAAAAGAAGGGAACGGAACGACGGCAAAAGAAGGAAATCAATCTCCAAGTTCTGAAAAAGCAAACTAAGTAACAGTAGGTAAGTTATAAAAAAGCAAACCAAGTGACAGTGTTTTGATGTGACTCTATGAAACAGTAAAGTTGTAACTTGTTCTTTTAAAGAGATAATTTTTAATGATAACGCGTCACTTTTCAACCGGCCGTTTTCTTCAACGATTATTAAATAATTATGGGTTGGGGGTCTTCTGCCAAAATGCTAATAATGAAAGTCGACCAATTTGGTTAACATTAATGGCTATTAACCTCATCTTTGTTAACAAGATAAAATCAATTAATAATCGACTTTGCCACACTACCCACATTTCGTATTTCTAGTATTAATAGAAACGTGGCAATTTTTAATGATAACGTGTCACTTTTCAACAGGATGCTAACAACGTGAAATACAACCATGTGTATTGTCCATTACTGATAATGGTGACCAAGAATAGGATATGAATCCGACGATGCTGTACTGCTTTCTATTCCGGTCGAAGATGTCGGCTTTGAATCATGTCGATTATGCAAAACCAGGAGCCATTGTCGGCTTCAAATACGGCGTCGATGGAGGCTTCAAATACGGCAACGCTGCAAAAAATACTTTCTCGCCTTTGATGGCTGATTTTTTCGACTGCGCTCGAGTCTACACAATATATAATAGCAGGAAGGAAAAATTGTTGCTTCATTTCGAATTTCCTGCAATTTATTAAAAAAATGCGTCAAGATTCAAATCATAACCACTTTAAAGAAAGGCAAAATACACTTTCATACCCATAACTTTACGGTTGTGACAATAATAGCAAATTTTGAAAAATACACAAATATAGCCACTTTTTGAAACTTGCTTGACAAATTTAGCCATTTTCGTTATAAAGTTTAACACCAAGGGCAACCCTGTCAGTTAAGTGAATGTTAAATTGACGTTGATGCCACCTAGACGACACATCATCTCCAATTAGACTCGTCATGCCACGTCGTATTTTGAAAAATAAAAATAAACTCCAAAACCTAATTTTACTAGAAATAAAGTACTATTTTAATTTTTAATTTTCTTTAATCTTTCCTTTTTCCCCTAAATCTTATGCACAATTGCCAGATCCTAGCTCCGCCTTGACGGGTTGAGCCTCATCCGCGAGGCCGCAAAACTTTTGTTCACGATGTCCTCAACGCCATCATCATTAACCTCATCTGCTGGTTGGCGGGACTGGTGCGACGCAGAGGGGCGGATCGATGGTGGTCGGCAGTGGGAGACGATGGCAAGCAGCGCCTCGAGGGAAGATCGATTAGGTGAAGTTGACTGGTTGGAGACCATCCCGCCGAATTCGGTTAAGTGACGACGACGCACACTGCCGCCACCAACCCCATCGCGATTCCGGAATTCTTCTCGCCGCTCATCCCAGACGAATCCCCGATCTCTCTGTCCTCGTCGCCGAAAATGCAGGGGTGAGAAGGGATCTTACGAGGATTTGGGGCTTGTCATATGAACTGGGGAGAGAGGCTTTGGTGGATGTTGTGGGCCGCGGGAGAGGTTGTGATGAAGGGAACCAAGCATCAAAGCGTTTCCCAGATTTGATTTCAGCCTCGCAGAAGACCAAATCCCTAGAATGGCAGAGAGGGTGGTAAATCCCCTGCGTCTCCTCCGGTGAAAACTCACAAACACTTTGACCTACCTATTCTTCACCTTTGCTACCGGAAGAGAAGAGTAATGGATGGTATGAGGAAGTAATGGAAGAGGAATTCGTTCTTGATGGAAGCTAGAAAACTAGGGATTTGATTTTTGTTATTCGTGGGGAGAAAGGGAGTTTGAAATTAGGGATTAGATTTTGGTTATTTGTTAGGATCAGGGAAGAGGGAAGAGCAGGAGAGGAGAAAGCAATGATTTTAGTCTTTCTTGGTGACTTGTTTTTTTTTTTTTTTTTGAAATATTGTTTTTTATCTAATTATGTGTGAAAATTTAATTTTGCAAGTTGACGTGGCAAAAAAAATTATAAATCCAGTGACACGTCATCAGTCAACATGATAATTGTTAGTCCAAATCAGCATTTGGTCGGTTAAAGTTTTGGACGGAATATATATCAGTGTATTTTTCAAATTTTGATTATTATTGTCACAACGCGAAAAGTTATGATTATGGAAGTTTATTTTGCCTTAAAGAAAAAGCAATGATCATAACCAATCATACTAAGTACATTTATTATATTTTTTTAAACTAAAAACATATAATAGCATAGAGGAAAAAACCATTCTTCCATTTCAAATTCCCTGCTCCAGGAGCATTTGTAGGAAGGGTAGAATGAGAAGTGTCATTTTTTTCTCTTTCCTCTATAGAACGAGCCAACTTACCTTACACATGCATATTTAAACGGGTTAAAGAGTGTCAATTTTTTTCTTTAACCCCTTTTATTTCTCAGTGGTGGTAAAATATATATATGAAAAGGCAAAAATAATACTCTTTTTTATTGCTAATAATAAAAATTTAACAATAAACTAATGCATGGATTCTAATAGGCTAACCGCTAACCATAAAATAAAAGAGTTGAATGGACCTGATCTACACGGGATTTGGTCATCAAGTAAAACAAATGAACATCATGGGTTTGTCATTCTAAAACAAACTATTTTCTCTAGCATCTACACAATATATAATATAGCAGGAAGGGGAAACCTGTTGCTTCATTTCGAATTTACTATAACGAGAGTGAAAGTAGGAAGAACATTTGGGTCTTGACAATTACTTTTTTTATTCATTAAGAAAACATGTACTGATATTCGAACCATGACCACTTTATTAAAGAAAAGCAAGGATCATACCAAATCACACTAAGTACATTTATTGTATCATTTTAAACTAGAAACATATAATAGCAGAAAGGAAAAAAAACCCTTCTCCCATTTCATATTCCCTGCTCCAGGAGCGTTTGTAGGAAGGGTAGAATAGAAAGTGTCATTTTTTCTCTTTCCTCTATGGAACGGGCCAACTTACCGTACACATGTGGATTTAAACGGGTCAAGGAGTGTCCATTTTTTTCTTTAAGCTCTTTTATTTCTCGGTGGTGGTAAAATATATATGAAAAGGAAAAAACAATACTCTTTTTTATTGCTAAAAAGAAAAAATTTAACAATAAAATAATGCATGGATTCTAATAGGCTAACCACTAACCATAAAATAAAAGAGTTCAATGGGCCTGACCTTTACGGGATTTGGCCATCAAATAAAACAAATGAACATCATTGGTTTGCCATTCTAAAACAATCTATTTTTTCTAGCATAATATATATTATGCTATTATTTTATATCTTAGTGGCTAAAATATAATATATTTTAAAGTTATTCAATGGTTCAATCTCGACCAACTCAATTAGTCCAACTTTTATCATTTAAATTATATATTATGTCATTATTTGATATCATAATGATTAAATTACAGTGTATTTTATAAGGAATCGTTTGGTATTTGTTAGTAAAAAACTAAACAGAAATATCTATTTGGTTATTTTAACATTAAAACGATCCTAAACATTTTCCGTTTTCTTTCAAATTTATATGTTTTTATTCCCTAATAAGTGATGT